TGATTATCACAAAAAAGGTTCCCCCCCCTTTTTTATTATTATTGCTTGCTTTTCATCCAAAAACTTTAAAGTCTGACTGAATATTATTCAAAGATTGTAGAATTATCTGTTAAAATTTTTATATACCCACATATAATAAAAGATTTAACTAGAAATCAATACATAAGTGTCTGTAGGGCAGTTCAGTTCAGTTCAGTCACTCAGTTCTGTCCGACTCTTTGTGACCCCATTGACTGCAGCACACCAGGCCTCCCTGTCCATCACCAACTCCCGGAGCTTACTCAAACTCATGTCCATCGGGTTGGTGATGCCATCCAACCATCTCATCCTATGTCGACCCCTTCTCCTCCTGGCTTCGATCTTTCCCAGCATCAGGGTCTTTGCAAATGAGTCAGTTCTTCACATCAGGTGGCCAAAGTATTGGAGTTAGATTGTTGCTAAATTAAAATTTTATATGGAAGATGAGTGTGTCAAAATTAAGAGAAGAAGTAGTCAAAGAGAAAATCATGCCAATTTACAGTTTGTAAATTAGGATAATGAACCCATATTGACATTCCTAGCAATAAATATTATTTTGTTTTGTTGTTTGTTGTTTAGTTGCTAAGTTGGGTCTGACTCTTTTGTGACCCCATGGACTATAGCCCTCCAGGCTTCTCTGTCCGTGAGATTTCCCAGGCTGGAATACTGGAGTGGAGTGCCATTTCCTTCTTCAGAAGATCTTCCCAACCCAGGGATTGAATCTGCAACTCTTGCATTGGCAGACGGATTCTTTACCACTGAGCCACCAGGGAAACCTGGCAATAGATATTGTCACTTGTCAAAATCACTTTTTAAAAAAAGTTTGTGATCTCATGATGCAGTATTGCTCTTTACTCACTGAATGAACCAGTTAGGGATGAAAAAGGACAGAACTTACTACCAGCAAAACTCATATAGTTTTCTTCAAGCCCTATATATATCCTAAGTACCCAAGACTAGTTCCTGTGATCTCCTTATCCACAGTCTTTTTTTTTTTAAATCTCTTTGATGATTTGTGTTTTCTCATTTCTTATTTGTTTGATTAGTGTATCTAGGGATTTACCAAATCTGTTGATATTCTTGGGAAACCAGAATTTGGCAGTGTCCAGGGTGATAGTTTAGTTTATTTGATATTATTGTATTCATTCCAGCTGTTTTGTGTTTACATGATTTATCTATATTTAGTGCATATATTAATCATCAAGGACTTACTGTATAGCACAGGGAACTCTACACAATACTCTGTGATAACCTAAATGGGAAAAACATTTGAAAAAAAAAGATACATGTATATGTATAACTGAATCACTTTGCTGTACATCTGAAACTAACACAACATTGTTAATCAACTATTCTCTCATATAAAATAAAAAAAAATTTTTAACTTTATTTATTTGGACAAACTCTGGCTTTTTCTCCCCTCTCAAGCAAAAGGTCTCATGTATTTATTACCAAACCAACCTGCTAGTGCAAAACTATAGAAACAAGAGAAAAATCATTTTCCCAATACAACTCATCCGACTGTCCAGATAGTAGTGACACTTTCAGAGTGATATGGTAGGATGTAAGTGACTTTGACACAGCATAAATATTTGTGCCCTCTCTTATGTAATTTCATATAGACCCAGTTTGATTCTTCTCCAGTGTCTCATCTTGGCGTTATACTTGATTTATTACTTGTTTTCATCAGAATCTATTGGAGAATGGAACAACTCTGTTTTTGTTTCTTGGCCGGGAATTGCTTAATCTTGAAAGTCTTATGGAAAGGCATGTGAGCCTTTTCAGCCTCCTTTTGGGTTAATGAATATTTTTAAAGAAATCTCTTTTAGTTCATTGGGTTTTTAGCTTTACTTCTTTGTATTTTGTTCCTCTTCCTCCTCCTTTTTTTCCCTCCTGTAAGTGGTCAATGTAAGGATTACATATATACCCTTACCATTTCAGTGTACTTAGAGTTAATATTTCACTGTTCATTGAAATGTAAAAACTTTCTAACTGTATATGTTCATTTACCTGTCCCATTATTTATTCTTTAGAGATTACATGCATTATATTTACTTTAATTATAAACCCTATAGTAAAACACTGTAATTTTTACTTTAAATTATTTTACTAAAAATAATTTTTACTTTAAAATTTTTACTTTTAAATATATATGTATTTTAACTAAATTAAGGGAAGTACTTTTTAATATTTACCCCTGGATTTACCATTTCTAGTGGCCTTTATTTCCTTTCTAAGGGTCCAAGTTTCCACCATTTATCATTCTGTTTAGCCTGAAGAAATCACTTGAATACAGACTGTAATTACATTATTAACAGTTGATGATTATGATTTACTTTTCCTTTATCTCAAAGATGCCTTTGATTTACTTTTATTTTTTGAAGGATAGTTTTGCTGGGTATAAAATTCCAGTTTGGTTTCCCCCGCCCCTTTTACCATGTTAAGAATTTTGTTCCACTGTCTTCTGATCTTCATTGTTTCTGTGAGAAGCCAGTGATAATTCATGTTATTGTTCTCTTGTATGTAATGTGTCAACTTTTTTCTGAATATTTTCAAGATTTTGCTTTATCTTTAGTTTTCATGAGCTTGACTATGGTGTTACTAGTCATGGTCTTCACATTTATTCTGGAGCTCATTAAACTTCTTGACTGTAAGTTAAAAAAAAATACTTATTTGTTTGGCTGCATCTTAGTTGTGGCAGGCAGGGTCTTCGTTGCATCACACAGACTCTTTCACTGTGGCACATGGGCTCTTTATTTGTGGTACAAGGACTCAGTTGCTCCAAGGCCTGTGGGGTCTCAGTTCTCTAATCAGGGATTGCACCCACACCCTCTGCATTGCAGGGGTGGATTCTCAACCACTGAACCACTAGGGAAGTCCCTGTAAATTTTTTATTCACTAAATCTGGGGAATTTTTGACCACTTTAAAAAAAAACATTGATTTCTATCTCATTATTTTCTCTACTTTACTTCTGAGTTTCAATAAACATGTTAGGTATTTGAATATTGTCACAGAGATTACAGAAGTTGTGTTTTTCTTTTCACTTAGCAATCTTTTTTCCTCTTAGTTCTTCAGATTGGACAGTTTCAGTTTATTTATCTTCAAGTACACAGAGCTTTCCCCTTCTGTTGCTACCGTCTGCTTCTGGTCTCTGTTAGTATAATGTTAATTTCATATATTGTATTGTTTCCGTTACAGAATGTTTTTTCTTTCTTGTTTTTCTTCTAAAATTTCTTAGCTTTATATTCAGGACAAACATAGTTATACCTACTACTTTAAAATCCTTGCCTGCTAATTCAACATCTGACTCATCCGAGGGTTGGTATCTTTTGTTACATTTCTCATGTTCATTGTGTATCTAGTAATTTTGAATTTTATCATGGACATAATGAATGTCATGTTTCAAATATTATGGACTCTGTTATATTCCTCTGAAGAATATGACCTTTTCTGTTTACCTTTTTTTAAAGCAGAAAATTAAATGAATTCATTAATATGTATTAGATGAATTAGTATCTCTCAGTTCAGTTCAGTTCAGTCGTTAGTCTCTCTAGGGGCAGTTAAATATTTAGTTCAGTTCTTTCTTCCTTAGCTGTTTGAAGTCTGCCCCTCCTGCATGATCTGAGATTCAGCCAGAGGTCTGAATAGCATTTACAGCTACAATTTTTGGCTCTCTCTCCTCTGACTCTTTTCCCAAGATTCCCCTTTAGTTTTCAATTGGTGATGATTTTCCTGAGTCTTTGTTCTAGTTTTTTAGACCATAAATTTTAAAGTTCTCTGTTGGAGTTTTAGCTGTCCTGCATGGCACAGACTTAGGCTTGTCCTCAGAAAAGAAACTCATAAAATAACAATCTTGTTTATTGTTGTTTCTTTTTTCCAAGTGTTGTCATTGCTCTTTTTGGTCCATAACCGAATTGCTTGAAATTAAGTTAAATAAATCAGCAACATCTTTGAATAGTAAGATTTTTTCCTTTTATAGGTCAGTGCCTTCTTTCAGTCACTATTCAGTGACTTCAGACAGTTTTTTATAGTTTCTGTAGGATCATCAATCTGTTAGAGACTTTGACAGTACTGTAGGGCAGGATTTAAAAATATCTACTTTTTAAAGGCACATAATATATCCGACGTAATACTGTCCTTCATTTAATGCAAAGATAAGCTGGGTTATATAGAAGAATAGTTTTAATGTAACTAATACAGGAAATTATGTTGAATCAATATATTAATAGAAGCAGAGTTTGTAGGGATGGGGAAGATCCTAATTCTTGGGGATTAGAATAGATCCATTTAGATTTGTTATTTTATCTTGAAGAGATTTCAGCATTGAAGACTTGATTTGAACTTTAAAACTTTTTTGACTAAACGAACACTTTTTTAAAAGCTGGTTGTAGTGCTGCAAGGCTGGTGCACTTTTTTTTTCTCTATTTGTTTATTTACTGGCTGCACTGGGTCTTCATTGTTGTGTGCGGGCGTTTCTTTAGTTGCAGAGAGCCGAGGCTGCTATCTAGTTGTGGTGCACAGACTTCTCATTGCAGTGGCTTCTTTTGTTGCAGAGCATGGGCTCTAGGTGGGCAGGCTCAGTAGGTGCGGCTCATGGACTTTAAAGTGCGGGCTCAGTAATTGTATTGCACAGTCTTAGTTGCCCTGAGGCTTGTGGGGTCTTCCTGGACCAGGGGTCAAACCCATACCCCTGTGTTGGCGGGCAGATTCGTATCCATGATGCCACCAGGAACCCGTGAACACCTGAACAAACACTCTTTGACTAAATCTTATATTTTTGTAAAGTTGGCACCCTGTGTTTCCCTCACATGTCACTTAGCAGAGTACTTATTCATAAAGAATCATCTTTAGATGCTCACTTCACAGAGTTAACTGAATCCTTAATTAAAACTAAATCCTTTTCTTTCAGACAATTAAAAAAATTTTATTTCATAATACAAATTATATTCTCAATGTATTTAATGAAATGTACTTACCATAGGTCCCGATCAAGACCTCGGCCACGTTCCCACAGTCGAAGCAGTGAAAGGTCCAGTCACAGAAGAACACGTAGTCGGTCTCGGGATAGAGAACGACGTAAAGGCCGAGATAAGGAGAAAAGAGAAAAGGAAAAGGATAAAGGCAAGGACAAGGAATTACACAACATCAAACGTGGGTAAGTTGAAGTGAATCTAAAGCAGTGGTGACTCAGTGATTCCATACCAGCCACTGTAGTTTCATCTTCCAATGTGCTTCTTAGATGGAAAAAGGGGGAGAATATAATGGCGAAAGAAGAAAAGATAAGTCAAAATACTTATCTCAAATTTTTACTGTACTTCCTCTCTATTCCTGCTTTCATTTTATATTTATAAAATAAATCTTAGAAATAAATTGTACTGTCAAAACTTATTATGTCAGTAAAGGAAAATTTACATAATTTGTTAGGAAAGTTCCATTTTCCTCATCATGAATATGATACTTAAAATTTGAAGATTGCTTATGATTGAAGATGTATATTAGCTTATTAAAACTCAGAGAAGAAGAAAAAAGATAAGGGAGGGACCCACATGAGTTACTATTGGTAAAAAGACTTCTTTCAATGTAGAATGAGGACTTCCTTAATATAAAGATATATGTATGTATTAGATGAGTGTATGTGCATATGAGACCCGGAGTTTATTTTTTCTGGAATTGTTTTCATTAAAACAGTTGTTCCAGTTTTGTCTGGATGTTGAAGTCCACTCAAAATTGCTTATTTAATTAGAAGATGTTAAAATGAAACAAAATCTTTATTAGCTTAAATTACAGCTTCTTATTTGTTTTTCCAAAGTGACATTGGGGTCTTTTATTCTGTGAAGTGGAGCATCTTAGAATTTGTCCTCTTTGGTCGTTCTTTCAGCACCCTATGTGTGTTCACTTTAACACTTGAGACACGTATGTTGTCTTTTGTTGTGTCCCTTCTCAGTGTTAAATTGAAGAGCTTACCAAGATCTTCCATATGGTCCCTTGAGATGTTGATTCTATAAAGAATTAAGTTTATTGAAGGATATGGAACTCTTCCCATCCCTTTCTTTTTCACAGTTGTCTGTGTACTTATTTTTATCCAGATTTACAGTGATACTATATAAAACTGCCTGGATTATTGGCTTTTATGTATTCTTTGAAATGATCCATTGGTAGTGGATTTTGGGAATGTGCTACATTATTATGTGACTTTCTTTTCCCTGATCACCCTGCAGCCATTAATGGACATTGAGCAGTCACTGCCCTATAAAATCCTGAGTTCTGTCTCTTCTAGTTTTAAGGATTATTGAATGTTAGAGGAGATAGGGTTGGATATCTGGCTTTAAAGATAGGGAGGCTGACTTAGCCAGAGTTAGAATGAAATGAGGATCAGAGAGGGTTTGGGGGGAATATATTGATAAGGGGTAAAAGTCAGAAGAATGATAGATTGGAAGAGAGCATGTAGAGTAAGTTTCTAAGATTGGAAAATACGGACTAAGAGGACAAATAAATTATGTCAGTCAAGGAAATGCCTTGCTCCTTGTTCCTTGTTTTCCCTCCTCCTTTTCGTTTATGCTTTAAATATTATGTGACTATGTGATGTGACTATGATTTTTACTGGTCATTAAATCTTTGCTTTCTATTTCACCAACTTTTACACTTTTAGAATAAAGTTGATATTACATAAAGTATTGTATGGGACATTTTAAAGGCAAGAGAAAACAAGAGCATGAATAAATAAGGAGGTTGCATAGTTTCAGGAAAGGGTCTCATGTGGTGACAGTAATCTTGAAGGTCTGGGCCAGCTCTACAATTAGATTCTTTGATCACTCAGAGCTTGTTGTGTTCAAAGGACTCATTCCTGGATGATAGGTTTATAAGATAATAATATCATATTTGTCATTATTTCTTAAATCTCAACAAAGGTAATGCTGCTAAGTCACTTCAGTCGTGTTCGACTCTGTGTGACCCCATAGACGGCAGCCCTCCCCCGTCCCTGGGATTCTCCAGGCAAGAACACTGGAGTGGGTTGACATTTCCTTCTCTAGTGCGTGAAAGTGAAAAGTGAAAGTGAAGTCGCTCAGTTACGTCCGACTCTTAGCGACCTCATGGACCACAGCCTACCAGGCTCCTCCATCCATGGGATTTTCCAGGCAAGAGTACTGGAGTGGGGTGCCATTGCCTTCTCCGAACAAAGGTAATGAACAGGGTCAAAACATGAGGTGTCAGTTGAAGGGCCCTGATTATGGATGTCAGAAAGCAATGAATAGCCTGATTCAGTCATCTTCATGGTTTTTAGTGGACCATAGGACAGGGTGGTATCATGTCAGTGTGCCCTTCCTTCTAGTTGGTTCTAAGTACACACAAATTCATACCCTTCGGTATGATCTAAAATCAGGATTTAGTGGGGCTATCATTGATATATACATTCAATGTGGTAGTACTTACATATGACAGATGCCCCCTGTTTTGCTTCAGAAATAACTTAAATATTTTTTTCCCACAGCTTTCATGTTTATTTCCTAAGCCTGATTTTTCTTTCTCTTTTAAATAGACAATTTCATTTTATTTTATTAGTGTTTTGGCTGCACTGTGGGATCTTAGTTCCCTGAGTAGGGATCAAACTCACGCCCCCTGCATTAGAAGTGCAGAGTCTGAACTGCTGGGCCACCAGGGAAGTCTGTAAACCTGATTTTTAAACCATTTAGGGCAGAGTATGCTGTCATATGCTCTTTTCTCTCACTCAGAATACCTAATGCACATCAGTTCAGTTCAGTTCAGTTACTCAGTCGTGTCCAACTCTTTGCGACCCCATGAATCGCAGCACGCCAGGCCTCCCTGTCCATCACCAACTCCCGGAGTTTACTCAAACTCATGCCCATCGAGTCGGTGATGCCATCCAGGCTGGATGTACATAGTTGTTAATACAAATTTATTGGTTATTGATCAGATATGCTCATGCATTCATTTGTTCACTTGTTCTGTCAACAATATTTGAATGCATTCTATTTGTCATGTGTATGTTAAGTAATCGGTACATAATGGCTGCAATCCTACTGAGAGATTTCATGCAGGTGGCAAAATAAGCATATATAGAAAGGAAGATAGATAAATTATTGCAGTGAAATCAGATGAATGTTTCAAAAGGAAACTAACTCCTATGTGTTAGGATACTTCTGACTACGAGTAACAAAACCTACCTAAATGTAGCTTAAACCAAAGGCAGGAAGCTTTTTTGAAGAGCTAGATTAGTAAATAACTTGGGCTTCCTGGGCCTTATGTCTCTGTTGCAACTACTAAACTCTGCCCTTTTAGCAGAAAGCAGCCATAGATAATACCAAATGAATGGCATGGCTAAATTCCAATAAAACTTTATTTTTTTTAAATGGGCAGCTGGCTAGATTTGCCCAAGGGCTGTAGTTTGTCAAGCTCTGGCTTAAACAATAAGTATATTTAATGCTAATATAACCAACAGTTTGGAGGTAAGCAGACATAGACCCTTTTTATTTTTCCAACAGGCCAGTCTCAGCACATTGGGTTTCATCTTCAGTCTTGACATATGCTAGTTGCAAGGTATTTTCGTGAACATTAAACTAGTCAACCTAGATTAGTCAGCGTGTTAGGGATGGGCTCTTGAAGATGTGATTTTTATACAGTGAAGGAAGGAGAAGATGGGATAGAATGTTGTACGCAAAATGAACTTCATGTGGAAATATTGATACTTGGAGGAAGGCAAAGTGGGTATGGCATACTTGAGGAACTGAAGTCTAATGGGGTTGGTTTATAGAAGAGAAATAATGATGAGAGGTGTTTATCAGAATTCCTTATATGCTGTGGAGCTCCCCTGGTAGCTCAGCTGGTAAAGCACCCACCTGCAACTAGAAGACCCCGGTTTGATACCTGGGTCGGGAAGATCTGCTGGAGAAGGGATAGGCTACCAACTCCAATATTCTTGGGCTTCCCTGGTGGCTCAGATGGTAAAGAGTCCACCTGCAATGTGGGAGACCTGGGTTTGATCCCTGGGTTGGGAAGATCCCCTGGAGAAGGGAAAGGCTACCCAATCCAGTATCCTTCCCTGGAGAATTCCATGGACAGAGGAATCTGGTAGGCTAAAGTCCATGGGGTTACAAAAAGTCAGACATGGCTGTGCAGCTTTCACTTTCAGTTTATATGTTATATTAAAGATATTAGAGTTAATTCTACAGGCAGTGAGAAGCCAGTGAAATATCAAGTAATTTTATGATGAGGTCTACATGAACAAAATGCTTTACTTACTGTGGATATTATAATAAGCATCTAACATTTTAAGTATATTTTCTAAGTTTCAGAAATTTTGCTAGACATACAGTATCTCATTTAATTTTCATACTAACCTAATGAAATACGTGCTTTTATTATCCCATTTATACAGATGAAGACTTGTGATCATAAGACTTTTAAATAAATGGCAGAGTTAGGCTTCTAATTCACATTCACTAACAATAACATCCTGACTCAATAGCACACAATCCATAGTTATTGATGATGATCTGTAGTGTTTGAGTTCAAGTGATATGCTGTTACTTAAATCCTAGGAAGTAGCTAAAGAAAACTGAAAGACTCTTCTGTGCCTTATTTTTTGATGATTGGGTCAGATATCTGTTATTAGTAAAAGATTAATTCCTTTTCTGCCTTTCTTCTGTACTTTCCCACATTAGCATCTCATCTGTTTGTTTGAAATTATTTTTCATTATATTAATAAAACCACAAAAATTTCTAGGACTTAATGAAATGTATTTTTGTGATGGTTTCATTGGATCTTTGAAATTTGATTTAAGGAATGCGTGTAGGTGGAGAGAAAGGAAAAAAGATTCACAAATGATTGAATTAGGACTTATGTATCAGCTCATCGTGATTGTATAACTCAGCAACAGGGATTTTAGCTTGTACTAAATAACCTACATGCTTCCTCGTATAAGAGAAAACAACAGCTCATGTGAGTCTGCTTCTTTATGCATAACAATTTTTGTTTTCATCAAACCAGTTTGAAAATACAAATATTTACAGATATTAATAGGACATAAAGCATACATTTATGAAGTAGAAAGCAAGAAGAATAAGTACAATAATGGATAAAAGAATATTTTATAAATTGGAAAAGTAACAGGACAATTCTGCAAAACCTTTTAAAAA